AGGACCTGAGGGTGAGGAAGCAGTATCTTGGAAAGAAACAGGCAGCCCGTGACGAGGCTGAGAAGGTTATGATGGAGAAGAAGGCGGAGGCTGAAGCAGCCGGTCAGCTGCGCGAGCAGCACGAAGCGGAAAGAGAGCAGGCAGAGGTTGCTATGCATCAGGCGAGGACCGCCCTGAAGGCTCAGCAGGAGATTCTGGATGAGGCGATTGCGTCGCTCGAGGTGGCGACAGCCGAGGCGGCGAAGGCCACAAGCCAAAAAGATCACCTCGATGCTATCTACCAGAAGCAGAGCCAGTCCTTGGACATGCTGATGAGGGTGCGACGGGAAATCGGGGAGTTCTACAAAGACATGGACGCTTTGACCGTCCGCATGGAGAAGGATGCAGATGAGCAGCCGAACGTGCCCGCTCCGGAACTCTTGGCCAAGAACCGCTACTTGAGGGCTTGCCTTGAGAGCTACAATGACGTGGTCATTGCCTACCGAGAGGTACTCACCTTTGATGAGAACCTGTATGGCATGATCCAACCTGCCGTGGCGGAGATCAAGCAGAACGCGTGGTCGGCCATCCTCTTGCAGTGTGATCCAAGTGAGCAGATGGAGATCAAAGCCGAGGCAAGCAACGATTTTGCCGAGCTTCAAGAGAAGTGTGGCAGCGGACTCTGGGAGGCTGCTGGTGTGCACAGGTTACGCTTTCCAGCTTACCGCGGGGTACACGAGCATGTGGAGGAATGGTGGGACAAGGACTTGGAAGAGCAATCAGATGAAGATGTGGAGTTGCAGCCCACGACCACTGAGGCAAAGGCGGCAGAGAGCCCAACGGAGCTTTCGGGCAAGCTTGATCAACTCGACAATCCAGAGTCACCGGAGTCCGTGCAGCCCACGACCAAGCTTCCGGACCTTGATCATCTCGAGAAGCCAGAAACACCGGAGTCCGTACAGCCCACGACCAAACTCCCGGACCTTGATCAACTCGAGAAGCCAGAGACACCGGAGTTTGTGGAGCCCACGACCAAACTCCCGAACCTTGATCAACTCGAGAAGCCAGAGACACCGGAGTTTGTGGAGCCCACGACCAAACTCCCGGACCTTGATCAACTCGAGAAGCCAGAGACACCGGAGTTTGTGGAGCCCACGACCAAACTTCCGGACCTTGATCAACTCGAGAAGCCAGAGACACCGGAGTCCGTGGAGCCCACGACCAAACTCCCGGACCTTGATCAACTCGAGAAGCCAGAGACACCGGAGTTCGTGGAGCCCACGACCAAACTCCCTGACCTTGATCAACTCGAGAAGCCAGAGACGCCGGAGTCCGTGCAGCCCACGACCACTGAAGCAAAAGCGGCAGAGAGCCCAACGGAGCTTTCAGGCAACCTTCAGAACCTTGATCAACTCGACAATCCAGAGTCACCGGAGTCCGAAGACTTGGAAGACTCGGACTCCCTCTCTTCCGAACCGAAGACGGCGAAGATGCCCTTGCCTACGCAGGACTTGGACTGATCCCGAGGCACCTGTTCCCCGCACCATCTCATGCAGCCCGGCGCCAGGATAAAATGCATGTGACGAGGTCGCGAGAGCCCGGCGTGTCAGACTAACTCAGATGTCCCTGGGCTCCTCGGACATTGGACACTTGTCGATATCTCTGCCAGAAAAATTCTGCTCAGGTCATCCTGAAATCCCGCGGGCAAGTTGCAGCTGGCCTGTCTGTCACTCGATCTTTTGGAGTCCTGCCCTCTGCATCCGACAGTTCTATGCATGTCTCTGCATCGCAACATGTTGGTGCCCATCATTGCAAGCGTCTGAGGATGTCGACTTCAAAGTTCCCGTCGAAGTTGTCACCGCCGTGTTCGCACCTGAGCGATCATTGAAAAAGACTAGTTTGGGGCTTTGCGTTGCTCCACACACCACAGCCAAACCTGACAGAACATCTCTGGCAGAAAAAGGCGGGGGGGGGGGGGGGGGGGGGGGGCAGAAGCCACAAGGCCCCACGGACCGCAGCACTGCACAGCACGAAGCACGATGGTATGTAGAAGTTCTCTTGGGTTTTTGAAGTCAGCTTTTGCGTCCTGCAGCCCTCCGTCAAAAATCAGAGTTCCAAATAAGCGATCCCGGCGCCTGTGGACTCAGGCCAGAGCTATCAGCTTTTGCAATTGACCCTGATGCTGCTCGCCTGAGTTTTGGCAGACATCCAGCCCAGTCGTTGACCGTTCTGCAGCAACCTATGTGTCAAGCTGAGGAAGACGAAGCTCGTCAGCAGATTGAACTCTGTTGCAACCCTTTCGGCTTCGCAGTGCTGAGCACCTTGTCAGGTCATGCTCATCCTCGTAACTGACGGAATCACTGGCAGCGTGTCAGACGCCGAGGCCATAGAGGGAACAGTGCGATGATGAAGTGCACCAAGCTGAATGGATTCAGCTCACATTAGTGGTGAGCACTTGTCCTCCACGGCTGCAGGCGGTGCGTTTGGCCTCGGGACCACTCAGAGAGGGCGGCATCGATGCCCCCGAGCAGGCATGGAGCTGTCTTCTGAGAGTTGAGCTTCAAGAAGAACTCCCCTGGGGAAGTGCAGCAAGTCCGCTCTTCATGTCGCCGCTACTCAGGCTGCACGGGCCCTGGTTGAGGCGGCTCACACGCGTGATCCCTCAGATGCAGGGTGCTAAGAAACCACAAGAGAATCGGTTCGGGAATCGGCGCAGAATCTGAAACCAGTTTCCAGGACAAGACTGCCATGGTCATTTGGTTTGGTGGATCGCCTGCCGCTGACTTGCAGAATCCCTTCAAGGTCATGTACATATTTTTTTGCAGATGCTTATAGAATGAGGACGAGAAAGTGGGCTCCACACCCAGCGGTTCTGATGCAGTGGAGGCCGAGCGGCAGCTTGCGCATGGGGTTTAAGTTTGGCCTACTTGGGTTCCTCTGCATATCGAATCTTCTCCTGGAGGGCGGAGAAACAAACAAAGCAGCTCGGAGTTGCTGCACGTGCCAGGACCTGTTCGGCAGCAGAGAGGATGCCTCCTCCAATCCCGCCGCTAAGCCCGAGGTGGAGGCAGGCGACTTCCTCGTTCAGCCCGGATCAGCCAAAAGCTAGGGGATGTTGTATGTACGCTGATCTGCGTTGGGGCCATCTTTGGCCATTTTTGGGGGTGCCCCCCCCCCGAATTTGATCGCTGCGCGGCCTGAGCTTCGGGTTTTCAGGGGGTCAACGAAAGGTCCCACGTTCTGGAGATCTTGGACCCAGGCAGTCCAGCCCAAGAACAGGTCAGCTGCGAGTCAGCAAGAGGTCATTCAGGAGACGTCGTTTCAGGAGGTCCCAGGAGCCCGCAATGAGAAGCCAAGCGTGGGGCAGCGCGAAACCTAAGCCCTTGCCTGAACCCTGGGTGGCTCCCTGGGGCAATCGGGACCCATTCCGTCCAAGAAGGGGCCTTTAAAGGGCTACTTGCGTCCCACACGTTGTCCCCAGCGGTTCACCTCAAAGCAAAAGCCGGCAAGAAAGGGCGCTCGTTCTTGGGCCCCGAGAGCCTCGGCGGATTCGCATGCACCTTTTGGGCCGAAACAGGGCCCGCAATTGAGATCAACCATCGGCTCTTACGAAGGCCCAGGCTCCGCTTCAGACTGGGACGGGAGAAGATGATATGTTCGCAGAGGCTTGCCGGCACAATCTCAGGGATGATGCCCACTTTGGGCGCTTCGCGGGGGGGGGGGGGATTTGTCGAGGCTTGAAAGCGCGCTTTGGGCTAAGGATGGCGCGGACCCTGTGGAGATGGCACTCCTGGATGACATCTTCGGTTCAAAGCCAAGACAGTGTTTCTGAAATGCGCTTGCAGAATCTTGCAGACCCCGCATGGTGGCTCCATTGTGGCTCCATTGTGGCTCGTGTGACTGGCTTTCTTGGCTCCGAGGCGCCTACGCGAAGGACATGGGTGTCATGCACTCAAGATTCCGAGGATTCCTCCAAGGGGCCAGTGAGATCGACTTCAGGTGGACATGGGGGCTTCCGAGCGTGGCGCTGCTGCCAAGCGCAAGTCTGATGAAGAGGCGGCAAGATCTCGCCTTGTGTCTCAGAAACAGCTCACACCCCCGGATGTGAGGCCAAAGACCTGAAGCGGAAAGGCCTGAGCAACAAGGCGGGGGGCTTCCCGAGGGCGCACGCGAATGTTTGCCATGTTTGGTGCCGACATCAAAGCCGGGGCTCTTGCGAGCACTCGTGACCCCAGATTCTCGAGCCGCCAGTGTGCCATAGTGACATAGTGTGCTTCGGGAGGTGGCAAAGAAAGTTTTCTGAGAAGCCAGCAGTTTCAAGGGTTGCTCACCTTGACGGCGGTAGCAGATGCAGCGAAGTAGTGTTTGACCGAAGAAGCGGCAAAGCTTCCGCTACCGGCACCCGGTCGAAGAGAAAACGAGGGAACTTATGAGGACAGTGCCCAACCCCAAACTCGCACTTTGCACTGCAGTGCCAACGCCAGTACTGCTTTAAAGCCTGCTCTTGTTGTCTGATTGTGTGTGACGTTCAAGCACAGCCTTGAAGCTTTGATTTCGAAACCCTTAACCGCAACACCATCTGAGACTGGACAGAGTGGCACGGGACACGGTGCTCATGCTTGAGGATGCGGAAAGACGGGGGTGAGCAGCATGTGGAGGTTCCACAAATGCTGGGCCCAGTTGGCGATCGATGTCGGAGCTCACCCCCGAATGGACATTGCTCGGGAATGGCGCTGACTGGATCTACATCTTTGGGAAGACAGCGGGCAGCTCTCGTATGCAGATGACGTGATGAAGTACTTCCCCTTAGCATCTCCTATCAGTACTTGGTGCCATGAACCGCTTTCAGGGGCCGTAATGCACCAGAGCGAGAGAGGCTGCTTTGCAGCCCGGTGGTGGGGTTGTGCAGCAAATTTTGTTGAAAGCCATTTTCGAAAGCCGCCCGTCCAGAAACAGTTGCATCTTTGGGGCACACCCTTCTTTTTTTTTTGTGGGCGCCGCTTAGACTCCACTCACGCCAGGAGCCAGTGGAGGATGATGGGTCGGTGCCTGTTTGTCTTTCAGCTATGCAAGCACTCAAGCACTGAGGCTAACAGCAAAGGCTGAATTTACAGCCGTGAAGCCGAGGTCGCTTACGCGAGAAGAACTTCTTGAGCTAAACAGGCAGCCAGACCAGAGACCTGTCCGAAGCTCATATCACACGTGTCCACAAGTGAGCATGGATGTGCCATCGCCCCTGGCGGGCCTCATGCTGCCCAGGCCCGACCGCGACTGCCCACGGCTTTCACCCAAACGGGCGTGGCTGGAGCCGGCTCCTGTGGTCCTGTGCACAAGAATTGTCTTCAGAGTGCAAGACTGTGCCAGAGTGCAACCGGAAGTGCTGACGCTTGAATTGCTCAGAAGTAGCTTCGCCGGCTTCGCCATGTCCGTAGCCCTGTGGAGCCACATGCTGCCTGCCGGCTGGATGGCGTCCATGTCCCTTGTGCTCGCCTTGGCATGCATCCCGTACTCAGCGGTCGCTGCAGATGTTCCCCAGTCGATTCGGGTGAAGCAGGCCGTCCAGCCAGTGCTTGACGAGATGTCCGTGAAGTACAACATGAGCTTTAGCTTTGGATATGTGGATCGGTCTGGACGTGCTGCAGCAGCATCTGGCCTGGACAACATCTTCAAGAAGACGCCATTGATGCCCGAGACGCTGGTGCCCCTGGGCTCTGTGACAAAGTCCTGGACCGCGGTCATGGTCATGCAAGCAGCAGAGTCCGGAAAGTTGAGCTTGGATGATCCAGTCAGTCAGTGGACCAACCCAGTGATGTCTCGGCTTTGGAATGTCACAATGAGTCAGCTCTGGGGGGCAGAGGTCGAGCAGGTACGAGTGCGAGACTTGCTGGGGATGACCAGTGGCTTTCACGACTATGACGACTTCTTCCTCGAGCATTTCACACTAGCCTTCTCCGCAGATGATGCCGGGCCACTGATTTACATTCGGAGTTCAGCAAAGCAGGGCTTCTTGTGTAAGCCTCGCACCTGTGCCAGCTATTCGGGTGCAAACTACGTCTTGTTGGGGCTGGTCCTTGTGCAAGTCCATGGTACTTGGTCTTGGCAAGATTTGCATCAACTGAGTGTGATTCCTCAGAAGCTCTATGACACAGGGCGCTACTCCCACACGAGCTTCCTAAATCTGGGACGGTGCAGCCAGTATCCGGGCATTGCGCACCAATATACTTGGCAGTACTGGAAGAATGCCAGTGGCACGCAGGTCTTTCAAGACCTTTACTTCAATTCCTGCCTCAATGGCTGGACGATGGGCAACATTGCCAGCTCAGCCCAGGATCTTGCCACCTTCTTCTTTGACTTGTTCACCCTGCCTGCGGAAGAGGGCGGCTTCCTCAAAAATGCGTCGCTGCTGGAAATGCAGAAGATGAAGCGTCTCACCGATGACTGGTGTGAGGGGCCCACAGGATATGGCTCATGCTCCTATGGCATGGGCATTCTTACAGACGCTCGGACCAAGCTTGGGGGGGAACAGAACAAGCTGCAAGTGTGGGGGTAATCTTTGCCAGCTCAGCGCCCCCATCCCCCCGCCCCCCCCCTTTTGAACCTTGCCGGACTCTGGCCCCAAAAAGTAGGCCCTCAAGTTCTCCTACCTCACAGGTTTTTTTTGTGTTTTGCCCCACGGGTTGGGCCCGGTGACAAACAAGGACCAGGTCGGCCAGGATGTTTGGCCCATGCAGGACCCGACGGCAGATCCGCTGGCCGTGAAAGTCCTGGGCCATCCCGGTGAAGACTGGGGCAGTGGCTGCTCTCCGTGTGGCTACAATCAGAAGTACGACTTCGGCATCTGCATTGCTTATACGAGTGTCGTCGGCATGAACTGCACACGCGATTTTCGGGAGAACTATGGTGCGGTCCAAGAAGCGACATGCCGCGCTTACGATGCTGTCCTTGCCACAGTAGGCGCTCCGAGGCTAAACTGCACTTCTCCAGCTTTGCCAGGGCTTCCCGAGTCGAAAACATGCAGGTGGGAGAGGAATCCCCACCCTGGCCCGCGACCGCCGCCGCCGGGAATGCAAGGGATGCCACAGCAAGCACTGGTCGTTTGAGCAGAATTCCATTGGTTTCACTACTTCTTCATTGCCTGCTGGGTCCTACTCCTGTTCCACCTCGTTAGCTCAGAGGCCAGTCCTTGAGCAACGGGCCATGTTGGCATATCCAGGTGCAAAGACCTGTGCTGCCATGGAATGTTCGTAGTTGTCATTGGTTTGCGTTTCGAAGGCACGGAGCAAGGGCGCTTGTACGCAGCTCACCACTTGGGTGGGGTGCACATGTCTGCCGAAAACAGCAGAGCTGATCAAAGCACCGTTGCCGGCGACCTGAATCTTCTCTTTTACCATTTTTTCCAGACTCCGCCCACCCAATTCAGGCCCTGAGCTGTGTCTGAAGCAGCATCGCGATCCCCCTTTGCCGAGGTGGTTGAGACGCCTCCTAACCCAGACAGTCCGCGATTCCAGGCTGGGATCTTGCTTGGTCAGGCAATACATGTCAACGGAATACATGATGAACATGCTCTACAGCATCCCCTCAGCTTGCGGGGGGGGGGGGGGGGGCATTTTGGGGCCCTGGGGACAGGGGTCTGAAATGGGCGCGGCCCATATTCGACCCTCCCCCGCCCCCCCATTTCAGATCCTATATACATATATATACACATATAATATATAAAATTGAAAGGCTGAGATCCTGAAGCCTGTCATCATCCCGGATTCCTGTCGATAAGCCTGGCCCCCTCCGGCGCTCCCCTGTCTACGCCTCCCTGTGCCCTCCTACCTCCTGAACTCATGACGTGTGCGGAGCTGCACCAAGTGACATAAGACTTTCGTCCGCCAAAAAGGGAGTTCTGTGTATTGTTGGGGGACCCTCCCTCCTCCCTGGCCCCCCCTTTGGGCCGGCGCGCAGCGTTTACAATGAACCAAAAGCAACTGACATGTATGTGACATGTATGTTGTGCGCATATGTCCGTCAAGTTATGACTGTTGGGCTTGGTTTAAGCCTAAATATAAATGAATAATTAGTATATACACGCATACACATGTATAGGCTTATGAACATATATATATATACACAAACATATTCTGTTGCTATGTTACGGTATAATAATGGACAAAAGATGTGATATGCGCATGAACTAGCTGACATCGTGTTGCTAGGCGTGGTCATGCGAAATCTGCAGGGGAGGGCGAGATAGACCTTGCAAGCAACACGTGCACAGTGAGGGAGTCTGAAATTTACACGGCTTCCGCGTAGTACCACAGGGCTTTTAAGATAAAGGGGCAATCCGGAGTCGGCAACACATTTGCGGCGAGCGCGAGGCCATGATGTCCAGCATGCCTGAGCACATGAAGGCAGCTTTCCATCAGTTCCTTCGTAAAACACACATTGCGTTGCCTTTTTTTGTGTTTTTTTTCGGCAGGAGATGGTCTTCTCCCCACGGGACGAGCTGGATCTCCAGAAGCACGCGGTGGAGGGAGCCACCAAGGAGTTCTCACTTTCCGCGACCTTTTCCAAGAGTTGCGGAACCCCGCCCGAGCATGATGTGTTTGTTTCCGCATTCGTGCCGCGGGGGGTTTTTAGCAAAGGGGTATCAGCAGGCCTTCACGGTCTGCGGTTGTGGAAAATTTAAGGGACAAACAAGTAGAGAGGATATTGACTGGATGCACAAGGTAGTGTTGACTGCTTACGCCTTCGAGGGCAGGGTCCTGGTTAAAAAGAGCCTCGAGCAGTAAGTACTTGGAGGCTGGCTCATGCTGCCACGGCTCATGCAGGACAAGGAGCTGCTCGAAAGCATCCTCAGGCCATGCGTACTGCACCTTCAAACCGCCATAAGCACGCAGGAGGACGAGGCTGCATGAATGGAATTGCGAGTGGTGGTTGTGACAGTTGCAATGGGCGCAGGATCCCAGCAAACCTGTTTGGTTCATGCATGGGGGTGCAAAGCCTTTTGGCTTGAACCAGAAGAGTACTTGGCGTTGTTCTGATCACGCCCCATGCATGCAATCCCCGCTCACGGATCAGACACCCAGGAGGTTTTCAATAAGGCGTTGAGCCTGAGCGAAGTTATACCCCGACATGGCCGCCGCCCACACGTCTGGCGGCCATAAGTGCTTTCGCTTTCCAATCTCAAGTAATCGAATCTAAGGAGTTGCGGTGGTGTTAGCAGGTAGTTTTTTGTAACTGCACGCGATGCTGGCTGCTCGGCCGCTCTGGCCTGCGCTCGTTCCTGGAGAGAGCCGCTGTGAGCTGAAGCAGCCGAAGCAGCTGCGTGAGCTGCAGCTGAAGCATGAGCTGGAGCATTGTGTGTTGGAGGGGAGGGCGAGCAGTTCGAGGACAGCGAGGCTAGCGTGTGCCTGTGGCGCTGCAGCTTCCCTTGCCGTCTTGCGAACCCTGCGGCCCAGCGCTCACAGCGCCTCCAGACGCCTTGCGATCCGACTGCGGCAGGCAGCACGGACCATGGAGGCGAGGGAAGCTTGCAACCTGATGCAACCTGTGCACTTCCTCGGACTGCCTTGGCAGGTGCTTGACATGAACGCCGTTACGCAGGATTTCTTCGGACACTCCTTGAGGCTGATCGAGGGACAACAATGGACAACCACGCGTGAGTTGCGAATCTATTGCAACAATTTCTACGACATGCTTGTACATACATGTATGCCGAAGCACCTGCGTGGCCAGCATCCAGCGAAGCAGCTCAGCAAATGGCGATCGCTCCGATCTGCCAGGCCGCAGCAGCGCGAGGTTGTTGAGGCGGTTGTGCAGGGCAAGGTGGGATCGAAGCATCCTTGTGAGAGGGTTGAAGCATGTTGAAGCTATGGGGAAGCTTACAACGAAAACAGTGACGTTGCCCATGTTGCCGGCATGGTGGGCGCTATGCACGTGAGTGGACGTGCATCGGCAGGACGCAGTCGTCCTTTGGTCGACCGGTAGTGGCAAGTCGCTGTGCTATCAGCTGGTCCCCATCATCACTCAGAAGGTTGTGCTTGTCGCATGCTCCTCAGTCCCGCAGTTTCTCGCAACATAGTCATGATTATTCGTATGATGCCATGTGTCGCGGGCATTCGTGTATACGCGTGTGTGGCCATGTGAGGTTAGCCCGCTGATAGCTCTGATGAAGGATCAGGTGGGCAAGTTCAATGCGCAAGCAGAGCGGAAAGGCGCAGTCCTTGTAGCATGCGATAAGAGGGCCGGAGCTGGCTCGGGTTGGAAGGGAGGAGCTCAACCGAGCTTCCGGCTGTGACAATGACCTGTCACCTTGACTGCAGGCGAGATCTTCCGCGCCTGCTTCCTTGGAACAGGTGCACTTCCTCCATTCCTACAGCTGCTCTGGTGCTTGTGGCTGTTCAGATTCGCAGCAAGGTCACGAAGACGTGGACAGGCGACTCAGCATTGAGGCTGCTGCACTCCAAGGAGCCTCACCACAGTCTTGTGTTCAGAAAAGCTGTGCTTGCCAAAAGAGAGCGGAGTCCTGAGTCCTTTTAGTGTGACACGCTTTATTGGGCCCGCATGGGCCCGCAACTACTTGTTCAGTCAGGTGGTTTTTTGGGATGTGAAGTTCACAAACCCACGTATGGCAATGCGGCAGACCCTTGTCTAGCGGAGGAAAGTATAGCCTGGTCTACGTGACTCCGGAGAAGCTGATTGGAAGCATGTTGGATGGGTTGAGGAGCCAATCTCGGGCTAGTGACGAGTTGGATTGCAGTAGGCAATTGCAATCTAGTCATTGCGTCAAACCATGTCAGCATGGAGCATCACTAGATCCAACCGGCACACGTCTGCGACAAAATTTGTGGCCGGGAGTCAGCTGTTGAATCAGCTTGCATGCTGTGGCTTGGCACGTGTAGCACTTGACAACCTGAGCTGAATGATGGGTCTCGTCGCCCCCCTGAGGACCCTTTACAAGCAGGGCAAGCTTGGCCTTCTAGCCATTGATGAGGCCGAGCACTGCATGAAGCGCCCTTCTGAATGTACTGCGTGTCACTGGGAATTTTTGGGCACTTTTCGCATAAGGCGCACTGCATTCTCGAGTGGGGCGGCGACTTCAGGCAGGGCCCCCTTCCTTGGTGTTTCTAGTCGCCTTCGCGTTGCAGATGAGTTTTGATACTTGTGGCCATGCCGGCCGCCCGAAAGTCGAAGAGCAAGGGAAAACTGGAAGTGGTAACACTATGCGTGGCACTTGCTATCCTTGGGTCCAGCTAAGTATTACCGTACCATCAGGTTCTGGCTGATGGGTTTGCACGATTCCTTCACCTCAATGGAATCGCACTTCACAAACACTGCGCCCGTTGTGCACTTCAACCCTAGAGCCCTACACTTACCAAAGCCCACGCCCTAGAACTCCAAAGGCCTGACACCCAAGACCCTTTTGCCCAGGAGGCTCTAGTTTTTTTCATGTGAGGGTTTAAGAGCCCCTTTTTTCGGTCCCCGGCCTGCTTTTGCACTTTTGCTGTTTTTTCGCTACTGCTTCCGCTTTGCCTAGTTCGGTCGGTTGCCGGCTTTGACATTTCTACCGTTTCAACCGTGCCCACCTGGGCAAGCACTTTTACGTTTTGGTCCCCTTGTGTCCTTTCAACCGTTTTTCTTCGCTTTGCGGGGCTGGCTGGAACCCCGTATGAACAATGCCAAGCGAGCACCCGGTGAGCTGGAAGCTCATACACTTCAAGAACAAGGAAAACTTCCACGAAATTGGGCTTGAAACCTGCGAGATCTTGCCCAAAAACGTTTTTCAGATGGCATGACAGTCTCTGACGACTGAGGCTTGTGTTTGATACTGTCTGCATCAAAGTCCGCTGAAGTGAAGTGCTGGGGTGGAGCTTTCCTTTGTGCACATGAACGATCTCAAACATGGTCAGTGTTTAGCAAGGACTGGTGCAGCTTCTTCTAAAGCAAGCCAGAGAAGTACCGAAACTTGAGACATCGGGAAAGTAACCAGGACCGGAGAGGCACTGCCGACCGAGGCCCGAGTACAGAGACCTCGGGTTCTTCCGCGAAGATTTCAGGAAGGTTCCGATCATGGCGCCGTTGGCTCGGCATGGCTGGGGGTGTAGGTCTGAGCCATGTGTGCTGCGCTGCATGACTGCAAGAAGCCAAGGCTGACATCATTGAAAACACCAGCTGTCCAGGAGCCCCCGAACGGTTTTGTGGGTCTTATGTCTTTTCAGTGGTTGTTGTGATTCGCTTGTGCTTGCGCTCTTCGGAGCCCTGAGGGCGACATCCAGATGTACCTCGAGCTGAACTCACCCAAGGATCGGAACACAGACATGAACTCCAACCCGAGGGCTGTGGACTCACAGAGAGGAGATGTTTACTCAGTTTCCTCACCATGTGCAGGTGTTTCAAGGACAATCCTTCAGACCCAATCTGCACCTCAAGCGTACCATCTCCTTCGGCTTCAAAAAGGACCTGAAACGAATTGCGGCGCCTCGGATCGCAATGACATGATCCGACCCGTGTACGCTGCTAGACTCGCTAGACCT